TTGAGGGTAAGATGATGACCATATGCACAGTTGTTTTACCCAGGACTTCTTTTCTCAGTATCTAGTTCTGGTAGGCCCTAGCATTTGCCTGGCCACATGTACTGATGCTGGGTCGGATGCTTCTAGTACAGATCTTTCAAGATGTTGTAATAGCTCAGTGTGTTCAGCAAGCATATTATTATTAGAACCTGTTTGGATTCCATATATTATTTTGCATGTCCATGTTGGTGACCAGAAGCTCAATACTACATGTATTTACTTAGAAATAAGAACATAAAACCCCCTGCTAGAACACTGATAGCCTGCTCTTCCATGAGGACTAGACAAGTTGGCACTGAATTTCATTGTTTTAATATATGTTGTATGAATGAGTGCATCATAAACAATAATTATTTTTGCCAGCTTGTTTTAGTTTCAAGGTGTGGTCTAGTTCTAAACAAAATTCTGGAAGAGTTAGACACATGAGTGAATTCCCTTTCTCTCTGTAGCCATCTGAATCTGTTATGGCAGGTCCCACAATACTTTGGATAGGACTAGGGTGGGGGCAGGAGGAAGGCCAAAACATATCCACCAGTGGTTTCTGTTTTGCTCTTCTGCTGACAGGTCACAGTTGAATGTAAGCCTTAGTGGGTGCAATTACTGTAAGCTTTCTTTTAAAAAATTAAACTATATAAACATTCCCTATACTGACAATTGTGTATACTCGAAAATGTTTTGATGTTCCCAAAAGAGAGCAGGTTTTTCTTCCAGAAATAGCAAGTTGAAAATTGGAAATAATTTCCTCTGGACAAGCAGTGAGAGTCTCATCAAAGAGCTGAAAGCTTTTCTTTCAGGAAACAGTACATTTTGCAATCAGCACTGAAAGGACACAGCTCTTCCTTGCATCTGCATGGCAAATCTAAATACTTTCCTATTCTCAGGTTGTATGAACTTTATGTTTAAAGTAAATAGATTTCTGTAAAAGGTTGAAGAGATTTTTAAAAGCCCATTTTCACCTATTTTATATTCACAGAGAGGAATCTTGTCAGAAAAGAATGCTATAATTAATGGTTCTTTGCTTATTCATTCAAGAAGAACAGAAGCACAAATGCTTTACTTGCCTAAAGGGTGCCCAAAGGAAGAGTACTATTATGATAAACGCATAATTTGGCTATTAGATGTCAAAACACTTATTTTCACACTTTTAGGTCATTAGGGTTTTTCTTGGGGGGTAGGAATTTATTCTCTATAATATCAAAACAGCACATTGATTTACTATCTTATGGGGGAGTCAAATTCTTCTTTGTTGTCTTCTGCTTCTGGTAAACCATAACTGGGTTACCAAGCTCACTGTGCCTTATTCAACCCATGATGGATTGCAATGATGCAGGGTACTTTTGAATATTCACACTGCAACCATGGCTACTGTGTTGTCCAAACATGGAAGATATGACTTGTTGCCCTGGTTAACAAACCATGTTATTAGTTGAGCTTGTGGATGGTTTGCTAACCAGATGAACAACCCACCTTCACTAGGTTCATACAACACGGCTAACCAGCTATGGTTTCAATATTCAAAATGCCCATGCTGTAGCTTAAATAAGCCAGAGTTGGTTGCTGGGCTATGCAAATAATAAATATATAGAAATGTGATACCAGCTCAATGAAATACTAAAAATATCTAAACTTGGGAATCAGTATGCCTTTCCCTTGATACTGAAAAACATACCTCAAAAAGTTGCTGAAGAACTTTTACACTAATCAGAAAGATGAAATGTGACATGTACAGGCTATAATACCCTAAAAAGAAGCACCATTAAATACAGTGGAATTTACTGTTGCATGTGTGTGTGTGTGTGTGTGTGTGTGTGTGTTGGACTGGACTGATACAGTCCCAGATATCCTAGCTGGCTTCTAGATGGAGGGCTCCTAGTGCTAGCAATCAGAAGGCATCACACTTTAATTCTTTCTTTCTAAGTGAGTTTTCTGTGGTAAGGAAACAGAGATAATGGGAAAATAGGGACAAGTTACAAGATAAGGACAATGACTTCTGACCGTCTCCATAAAAACAAATGAATGAGACAGGGCAATGGGATGATAAAAATCTTAGCTGGAAGCATCCCTTATTACCTGAAAGGGTGAAAAGGAAGAATTCTGAACTGTAGTATTTCAGATTTATCACAAATTTTACTTTTTATTATTGATTCATGGATCCAGTAGATTAATATTTACGTTGTAGTTTTATTTATTTATTTAGAAAATTTCTATGCCGCCCCATTCACCGAAGCCTCAGGGCAGCTCATAACATAAATCAATTAAAATAATATAAATTAACAATATAAAATAAGTCTCCCTGGCCAAAGAATAAAATAAATAAATACTATTAACAGTTAAAATGATGTTTGAATAAAAAGGTCTTCACCTGGTGCCGAAAAACAAATAACGACGGTGCCAGGCGGACCTCTCTGGGGAGCGCATTCCATAGATTGGGCGCTATCGCAGAGAAAGCCCTCCTCCGAGTACTTACCCTCCTAATTTCCTTCATGCAGGGTTCCCGGGGAAGGGCCTCTCCTGCTGATCTCAGGGGGCGGCCGGGCATATATGGACATAAGCGCTCCTTCAGGTAAGCAGGACCCAAGCCGTTTAGGGCTTTATAGGTCATCACCAACACCTTGAATTGGGCCCGGACTTCAATGGGAAGCCAGTGAAGCTGACGGAGGACTGGAGTCATGTGAACATAACACCCAGTCCCCGTCAGCAGTTTTAAAAATCCCCTTTCCTAATATTCCTTCCTAATTAGAACCCTAACCCAAAAACACCTATCTACTAATTTATTTATTTATTTATTTAAAACTTTTCTGTACTGTCCCATCACAGACATCTCGGGATGGTTTACAACAAATACACTAAAATAAATATAAGAGTAACAGCATCCAATGTTAAAATAAAACCACTAAATAAAACAAGTTAACATTTAAAATACTGGGAGCTTAAAAAGGTTTTCGCCTGATACTGAAAGAAGCGTTGGTACCAGGGGAACCTTTCTGGAGAGCGTGATCCACAATCTACTACACAGCATTTTGTTACCACAGTGGTGAACAAGATGCCTAAACACTATACGTCAGGGTGAACACCTTCGCTTTTCAGCAACTGGTGTTTAGAGGCAACGTATGGCCACTGGTAACCTTATCCTCTATGAATTTGTCTAACCCTCTTTTAAAACTATTTAGATTGGTGGGGGTGATACTTGCATTTTGTGGTAGTAATTACTAGTTGTTGTTTTTTAAACTATGTACTATGAGCAATACTACCTTTGGCCTTTCCTGACTTTCCCACTGCTCAACCTTATTTTTGTGGTCATAGGTTCTAATATTGTGAAGCATTGAGAAAATCTCTGTATCTATCCATCTTTTCCACACCTTACCTAATTTCATACTTGACAAAGTGCTTCTGAGCCCGATTAAGCACAATTGTTAATGTGCACTGGCTTATGAGAACATATTATGCCAGTCTCACCTGGACCCTAGGGCCATCTTTGGGGGTCCTTCTCTGAGAGCCCCCTGCAAAGGAAGTAAGGAAGGTGGCTACGAAGAGAAGGACCTTTTTGGTTGTGGCACGATCCAAGTGAAAATCTCTTCATTTTCCCAGTATTTTAACCACGAACTTTGAAACTTTAGTTTTAATCTTGCATTTCATCCTGTACTGCTGCTTTACCTCTGTACTCATTTGGTTGCAATGTGGTTTTATTGTCTTATGTCTGTTTGTCTTTCTTGTTTGTGTGTTTTTTAACTTTGGTTAACCATCCAGAGTTTCAACTATTGGGCAGTATAAAATAAACAGACAGACAGACAGTTTATTCTCAAGCAAATGTGGAGAGGATATTTTCTGCAGCAGGGTAGTTCTGGAAAGGAAGGACTTCTTTAAAACTAAGTGAATGCTACATTACCGGCGGTGGTGGTGTGAACATATTTGAATTCCGTCCAGGTACTTCCAAGCAAATGTGAAAGGGGTGAAGTTGTCTACATACAATTCAAATAATCATGCAAAGCAATCCTGTGCAAGAATTTAAGTTCCACTGAGTTCAAGGGATGGTGTTTCCACAAAAGTAATGAAGAACATTGGCAGAGAGTTACAAGAGCCTTAGTGGCCAGTAAATCTCACTGAGAGAACCTCGATAAATATACTTAGGATAGATCGGTGAACTGAAATCCTATGCATATTTCCTTGAGATTAGGCATGGGAAAATATTACAGGATTTAGAACAAACACACATAGGCTCTGCATACAATCCTTTTATTCATGTCTAAACTTCCTCCCCACCGCCCTAATCTGTACTATTTCTTTTCTACTGGTCCCCCTTTGCCCCAATCCGGACTTCTTAACTCCCCCCCCCACACACACCCAAGTTACTTTGCTCCCGTACTCCGTTACCTGTCATTTGCCTGGCGACTACCCAGAGGAACAGTCCGACTAGTTCAGCCCTTCACTTCTCCCTCTTATTGATGAATCACAGTTCGAGAGAAAAAGCAGAGCCGGAAGTCCTTCTCTGCCCTCTTATTGGTCCTTATTCTTATCAGTCAGAAAGCGGAGGACCAACAACCTCCCCCCACCCTCCACGATGTTCATAGTTGGGTGGGGCGATACGCGTAGTTCGCGGCCGGTCTGGCTCAGGGGGCTTCAGCACTCCTTCCCCGCCGTCGCTTCCCCTGCTCCACACAGCCACCGGCCGCGCGCTCACGTGTGCCTGGATAATGCCCAGAGGTTGCGCCTTAATACCGTTAGAGCCTGGCGAGGAGGGGAGAGAGTGGGGCGGAGGAGGGGAGAGAAGCCGCGAGGCGTAAGGCTGCGCCTCGCTCTTGCCTCGGCACGCAGGCGCTTTGCGAACCTCGGCCCGGGTGTTCGCAACAGCCGAGACAACGGCAACCGACTCGCCGCGGGAGAAGCTCAGTTGCACTGGGTCTCAGCGCCGCTCGGCCCGGCCTGACTTGGCCAGGCCCCGCCCCGCTCGCGCAGCGCCACCCACACACGCCCCTCGCCCTCACGCAGCGGCGGAGCAGCAGCAGCAGCAGCAGCAGCGAAGCGATGAGCTAGAGCGGGGCGAACGCAGCGAGGGTGCTGCGACGGGCCCGCCGTGGCGAATTAACTCCCCATGTTTCTCTGTGGAGAGCCTGCGACGACTCGGGGGAGAGACGTCTCATCGCTGTCGGCTTTCCCGCGGTCGCTGCTGAGGCTTCAGGAGCAGGAGGACGACGACGAGAACGGGAAGGAAGAGTGCAGTGGGGTGGTGTTGGCGGCTGCTGTTTCTGCTGCGAGGGGCGCAGGGCACTTTACGAGCGGCCGGAACCAGGAAAACGGCTCGGGATTAAATCCTATAAGCTGTGCTGAGGGATGGTGTATGCCTGAAGAGAAGGCAGGGCAGAGACCGAGAATAAACTGAGGGTGCCGGAAAGACGCACCGGGGGCACTTCTTTTGAACCTCTTTACAAATCTTCGACCCCTTCAACATTGGCTAGAGAAGGAAGTGACGGGGGGGCTTGCCGCTGCTGCTTAAAACAATCCTGGGAAACTTGGGAACTACAAAAAGCAACATCTGTCGTCCTTCTACTCGTTGGATTTTCATTGCCTTCACCTATCTTCTTATTATTTCTTCAAGAATAGCAATATACAGACATCGCACACAGTTGCAAACTTGTACGTATTTTGAATGTATCTATCCGTCTGCAGTCTCTCTTCTCTCTGTGTCTGTGTCTGTGCGCGCGCGCGCGCGCCACCCCCCCCCCCCGCTCCCTGGCTGGTGTGCGTGGTAATTAAAAGCCCGTACCTGTCAAGGCTTATTCACCCCCCCACACACACACACTTGTTAACCAGATTTGGACAGTGTATCATTTTCGGTGTGAGGGTATGCCTTTCACATACAAGAATGGTGTGAAAACTGAAAAAGGGAGTGGAGTCATTAGTATAAGAATTATTAAAATTCTCAGAGGGTATGAAGGAGGTGGATGGGAACAATGTGTGTGGCAGTTACGATTGTATATTTCCATAAGATGTGCTGAGTGATTGTCACTGATTCTGAATGACGTTTCGTCATAGATCACTTCCTTTTCAGTAAAGATTACCATGGGCAGGATGCTATAGCTCATCATTAAAAGTTCTTGGGATATTCTAGTGAATTTAATGTTAGAGTTGTCTTACTGTCTTTTAAATACTGTGCATGCATTTGGATGAGGGGGCAGGTGGGCTTTTATGACATTACACATTACTGTTTCTTTCTGTTACAAAATTAAGATCCCAGATGGCCAATTCCCTCAACGGCCGGAACCCAGGTGGCCGAGGTGGAAACCCTCGCAAAGGGCGTATTCTGGGCTTCATTGATGCTATTCAGGATGCAGTTGGCCCCCCCAAGCAAGCGGCTGCTGATCGCAGGACAGTGGAAAAAACTTGGAAGTTAATGGATAAAGTGGTGAGTCTGTAAATTGTGTTTCCCATAAAAACAATTTAAATATATGTGAAAATAGGAATAGCTACTCTTAGATTAGCTCCTGTTTGTTTGAAAGCATTATATGTTATGGCTATGTTTTTCAGAATGGAAGAAAGAAGGATTTTTTTGATGAAAAGAGTTCTTTTAGTAGTAGGGACTAGTGGGATTGTGAATAAGCAGCTTATTTCATATGTACTAAATGTTCTTTGCCTCCACACTGTGTCAAGATGTTATGACATCTCCTTGAAAATAAAATTTCACTTAAGGTAATCAAACTGTGAAGTACACTTATGTTAATCATAGACATGGAGTGCAATCTGCAGTTTAGAGAAATGGAAACATTTCTGATTTCTCTCACCTGAACAAACAGAATTTAAACATCAGGTTTCAGTTTCAGTGCCCCTTTACAATCCATTATATGACCATCTTAAAGAACAGTTCTTGGAAAACTATTTATTCATATGGACATTATGGGATTATCTGTAAACTCATATCTGAACAAGGATCAGTATTTTGAATATTGCATTAGGAATGCTAGCACATGTTGGTAGTAGGTGGATGTTATGATCTCACTTTTTTCCTCACTACAAAAAAATGTGGCTTATTGCTAAGAAAAAGGGACAATTTTTAAAAGTGCTGTACTGGTTATGAACATTAATTTGTTTTATACATTTTACACTTAAGGAATTCAGCTAGTATCACCTCGCATTATATTGTTATGGAAAATATTATTGCCTGTTTATAGCTTTATGATATAAACTTCTGTTTACAACTGCTATACAAATTTGCAGAAATACTTAGACAATGTTAAGGTCATGATGTGGAGTTCTTACAGCTTCCAAATGTCTTTAAAAACTTTGTTCTAGAGACCACTGGAACACTTACTTGCAGCATATTTCTATGAAGAGGCTTGAATAGCCCAAATTGATATTTAATTTTACGTTAGTAGTCTTTTTATAGTTACTGTGAGGCCTTACTTATGAATATAAAAGTTAATATATAGGTTTAAAAGTCTTTCTTTTGTGGCAATCTTGTAATGAGCATTTCCAGAACTTAGGTCCTCCTGGGGAGTCTAACCAGAGATTTCTGAGGAGTTTGAGTGATTATTGGAACTGTCAAGACTGAGAAATTTTAGCTGAAGTGTATGAAGTGTTAATGGTTTCTTTTCTACTTAAGATAATTTGCATTTACAGGCATCAGAATGATTTTCTTGAAGCCTCAACTTTAGATGGCCTATCCGTTCTTTACCTTTGCTAGCTCCAATGGTAATTGACCCTTCCTTCCTGTCTGCTTTCCTTTATTTTCTGAAGTGTTACTTTCTATGCCTGAACCATAGCTATTTGATTTGGGCTTTTTAATATACCAAAAACATAACCTAAAAACTGACCAAACTGCAGAACATGGAGAAAGTACTTGAGAGTAATATTATTATTATTATTATTATTATTATTATTATTATTATTATAACATTTCAGCTGTCTTATAGAATGTAAAATTGTTTACATTGGTGTTGACTGTGACAGCATCATCTCTTTTGGTGTGTTTGAGACAGGAGTTCTTACTACCTTTTGTTTTGATCCTTCTTTGTGCAGACGCTCAAATGACTTTTATGCCTGGAACATCCAGCATAAAAACATGCATTTTACAACTAAGCAATGTTCTTACCTCCTAGAGTAAGTCTCACTTGTTTAAGCACTCTTCCAAGTAAATGTATTTAGAACTCAACTTCTACTGGCTTAGAAGTAATCAGTGAGATTTCTGTGTATGCTATGTTGATCTGTTTTTATTAGATACATGATGGATTCCTCTGGAGTCAGAAGTTTGTCTCTGGACTACAATCATATAGTAAATTCCCAATGGTATCATTTTTATGTCACTTGATCTCCAGATATAATTTCCCCCCCATGGATCATGTCTGTTTGACTGTCTTATAGGTACAAATATAGGCTTTAGATTTCCTTATTATCTTATTGTAGGAGAAGTTCAACTTAGTTAAAACACATTCTTATTTCAAACATCAGAATTTTATTTTTGTCATATAGTTTTTGTCCATCCTTTTCTTTGAAAGAAGATGCTTTTTGAGTTGCCATATTTTATTTATTAGATTTACATCACCTTTTTTTCTTAAAAAGAATTCAAAGTGTGGCCTACATAAATTTCCTGCTCTTACGCATATCTCTACAGCAACAACCATGTGAGGTCAGTTGGGCGGAGAGCTGTGACTGACCCAGAATCACCCAGTTAGCTCCATGGGACTAGAACCCAGATTACTCTCCTTGGCTTCCTTTTCATTGTTTCTTTATATAGTACTGCCTTTTCCTTACTATTTTGTCTTGCCTTTTTTACCAAGAGAACGAAGTTTATGTGATTTCAACAGGTATACTTCTTGTAGGCTTATAGCTCAAACTCAGTGTTTTCTCATCATGTCACTTTTGTATTCTGCATCTTAGAATCATAGTTTGGATAGGTCCCTAAGTTTGGGATATATGTAAAAGTGGAGACACATACATATCAACTAGATGTTATAGCAACTTGTTTTCCACTTTTAGCTGTGGGATAATGTCATGATTACAGTGATATTATGTATCAATACACTGCCCTACTATTTGTGGTAGTCGGTGTCTATCCTTTGAACTAATTTACTGAGACTGCAGTGTAGGATTAGCTTACAGCTATGCAACAGTACCCCTGTATCCATGGGCGTTTGCAGTTAACCACGGTTGACCTTGGCTAAAAGAGAAGTTATAAAGTGCTTTCTGCAAGTGAAAATTTTGCTTTAATAAGGAAAAAAAGAATCATATGCTGAAGTAAGTGTAAATGAAATTCTGAAAAAAGGAAATGTACTATATATAGTGTGTATAATATAGTGTTATTACCAGTGTGTTCAGGTATCTGCTGGGGTGGTGGTGGTGGGGGCTTGGAACTCTGTCCTGCTGTATATTGTTGTTTAACAATGGATTTACAAAAGTAGTGCCATCATGTTGCTCCAACAGAACATACCTGCTGAGTTGTTTTCATACATCTTAACTCAATAGCACACATGGTGCTCTGCACTCTACTGCTGAAATCTTGGCTTGGATGATGAACAAGAGTGAGCAAGTTGTCACCATCTTGAAAATTTGGCATATCTCTGATAGAGGAAAGAGAATTGATGTTGTGTGCTGATGCATTAAATTGGGAGCCCAACAAGATGCCCTGTGAATCCTTCAGCAGGTGCCCATCCCACCCCTCTGGCCCAGAAAAGCATGATCTAGGCTTAAGAGCCTTTATATCATACGGATAATTAGTGAAATGTGTTAACTGCTTCAATAGGATTATCTACATTAAGTTTCATATATGACAAGATAAATCTCAAAGTACTTCCTTAATTTTCATAACTGTAAATACAGTTATGGGATTAAGCATTTTAAATCAGTAAATCAGTAAAAATAAGTTTTTAATGCAAATGTATGGATGTGATTGTTTTATCTAAATAGAATTAGGTTTAATTTTTACACAGCTTTCTGGTGCTATTTCATGTTTCAGTAGGTATGCAATCTATAGAAGAGCATCTTACTGTTTAGAAATATGCATTTTTATAACCTTACAGTAGCTTGGTTTTGAAGGTATGTTAACTTATGGAAGCTCGTGGAAAGGGAGTTTCCTCTCCCTTATATGCTCTCTTAAGCTTATCCAAAGATCAAGGGATCCTTCTGACTTGTGTGAAATGGGATATGGGAACTGCTAGGGAAAAGGGATTTGCTCAAAATTCTGTGGGCCTCTGTCTTATGAGCAGTTTCCCTTTAACCCCATTTTATATTCTTCAGGATGGTACCCTGATTCTTTAGAGAAGCTTTTGTGAGGTGGGGTAGTTGTACTGAGGAGGAGATACCAAACATTCCCTCAATGAATTTCCTTAAGGCTATAGTCCTAGGTATATTTATCTCAGGCTAAGTTTCATGGGACTTGTTTTCAGGCAGATGTGCAAAAGATTGGACTGTAAATTAGCATGTGCTAGATCTAGACCTGTTGAGTAGAAAGATTTAGAAAGACTGAGTAAGCCCTCAGTTGGATCTTCATTGCATCTTCTTTAAACTTCTGTCAATTTTGTTTCAAGATTAAAGTATTTTAGTGAGGGTGATCTCATAGACCTAATTCACATGACTTTACAACCCACTGTGGCTTAATTTACTTGTAGAAGCTGTTGCATTATGCAGAGTTCCCACAGGAACCATTTATCTATGATGCATATTGGTGCCTGGCTAGTTGTGGCTTGTCGTGTAATGCAAACTGAGGTGATAGGCTTTTTGAAGATTAGACAACACTCAAATAACCATGGCTTGTTTTGGTTTATTTGAGAGTCCTCTATTCCTCAAGCCTTGCTGCCTGCCTACCACAACAAACTGGGAAGTATGCAAAAATGGTAGCCTGGCATAATGTGACAACTGTAAAGGTAAGCTAAGCCATGGTGAACTGTTATGACAAGTGAACCAGGTCATTGACTTAGAATTCTGTTAACTTTCTTTTGGAGTAGACTATTTGGTACTTATAGCAACTTCATGGTGAAGAAGATGCATTTGAATGAACTTGGTAGTCAGTCTGCAGCAGCCTTAGCATGTCTTTCCCTGCTAGAAAATCCACTCACTGTGTTACTCCAGCTTTCCAGAATCTTAGGCTGATGCTAGGCCAGGAAAACCTCATGATGCATCCAGCTTCAACTTTTGGGCAGTATAGGAATAATAATAATACAAGCTTTAAAAGTTTAAATGTTGCAATTTTAGTTAATAGTTAGAGCACTAGGGCAATGGAACCAATTACCTAGGGAAGTTGTGGGCTCTCCCACACAGGATACATTCAAGAGACAGTTGGACAGCTATCTGTCAGAGTTGCAGTGAGCAGGGAGTTGGACTTGATGGTCTTATAGGCTCCTTCTAGCTCTACTATTCTGTGATCCAGTACTGTTTTTTTTTCTGTATTCATCAGATAATGAATAGGGAAACTTAGTGTACTGCTTTGCTGAAGATGATATTTTCAAATGAATTATGAGAAAACAAATCCTCCATCAAAGTACACTGCTATCCATAACATCATCATCAGATGATGAATATGTTATATTCATTGAAATATAGTGAAACATTCAGATCTACAAAGTAGTAGAAGCAACAAGCAACCATGTAACATATTAATGTTGTTCACTGGGTTGGAGATAATTGGTTTTCTATGCATGCCTGGATAACTTTGAAGGCAGTGTTTGGAACTCTTATATGCTAGTGAGGTCACATAAAATTGGTTTTAAACAAGTATCATATAATGTAAACAAAGTGTTACATGCAGTTGATGAATAGTTACATTTAACTGACAATTAAGTTTTTGCTCTTTTGGAGAATACATATAAAATACAGATCTTGCTAATCTTGATCAATTTGTTCAGGTAGTGATATGTAATGGTTTTCTTCGTGTTGTCAGAGGCTTTTGTAACTGGCTTACTGGAAAACATTCTGAGTACTACTATTCACCTACTGAATTACTGAATATGCACTTACTGAATATTCACTTATTACTGTAATTATTCAGTAATAATTTACCTGGAAAAATGTGACTAAGAGAGTTAAAGACACTTGTTAGAAAGTAGTATTACTTTGTAATACTGAGTTGCCATTCTTATTTAGTGGACCTAAGTCTTGCCTATATAGTTTTTTTCTCAGTTAACATAAGAAGAGCCATGCTGGATTAGATCAAAGACTAAGCAAGTCTAGGATTCTGTTCCCGCAGCAGCCAACCAGATGCTTATGGGAATCCCACAAACAAGACGTTGGTGCTATAGCACCAGCTTACTCATGTTCCTTAGCCACTGGCATTCAAAGGCTGCTGTTTACAATATAGGGCTAATATATAAGCACCAGGACTAGTAGTCACTGGTTACGTTAACTTCTGTAAAGTTGTGTTTTTCCTTTTTTAAAAGTTTGTTGCTATCACTAACTCTCGTGGTAGTGAATTCCATATAAGTGGTTCATAAATGGGCAGTCTCTCATCTAGTAACTGACTAGATCCAGCTATGCTTAGATTCAACATTAATCCTGGGGCTAATGAAAACTGTATGAATAAAACTATATATATTGCTTTTGTTAGTATAATAGGAAAAAAGAAAGTGGCTAAACCCACTTTGTTCTCTGCACTTGTCACATTTTTAAAACAGCTAATACAGGCCCCATATATTTATTTATTTAATGATTTTGCTATTTAATTTCCATTTATTTTCATAAAATAATGATTTTCAGATGGTACAATAGAAAAGTTAAGAGAAATTACTCAATGGATTGCTGTCATAGTGAATGAGTTCATTTTCCTCCAAGTTAAAGTTGAGTATCTTTGGATTTCAGGAGCTCTTTGGTGCAATTTTATTCATGTTTAAATAAAAGTAAGTTGTAAAACTTCCTGAGTTTGCATGAGTAAAATATTAATATCGAAAATACCTCAAGGGCTGCTTGTTGCCAGCCCTTAGTAATTTAGTATAGACAGCTGAGGTATAGCCTTTGAAGACAAGCATTATGTGTGTGAGACCATTCTGATTTCCTGTGTTAAGTATGTCTGCTTTTTTGTCATGCACTTGTTGCTGTTGTTCATTACTGTGATGAATAGAACAAGTTGTGTCAGCATGATTACATGATATTTTATTTCTAAAGCAAATAAATGCTTGTCACTGAGCCTAGATCAGTCTTGGTGCCAGTCCATGGGAGATTTTCTGTCATGGGGGGGGGGGCTGCATTCTGCTCACCACAGACTGGCGTGGGGAACTGATGGTGTTACACCATCTCTTCTTTGGTTGGCATCACGTTCGCAGGGAGGGTACACCGGTGTCTCTCGGGGGGGGGGGACACAGATGATTCAGTGGGAGCCAAATTGTGCCAATTTTGGCATTTTGTTCTTTTGTTGGCATTTTTTGTTGCTTGGTTTCTGGTCGTTTTTGGAGACCTTCCCTTCCCCTTCCCTTTCTTGTGTTTGGGAACTAATACACAGAATACTGTATTATGTATGTAGTGCTTTTTGTTTCTGCCTCAGTGGTCCCTGAGGTGATTTTCCCATTTCCGCCGGTCCCCAGCTGTGGAAAGGTTGAAAACCACCGGTTTAAACCATGGGTTGTTTCACCAGACTTCAGGAATGGTGGGCAAGAGTAATAAGAAACACAAAGCAGCTGCTCTGTATGCTAGTATTACAGCTCTACAAAGTTATTTTGGGATATAGGAAGGGAGTGCTGAAGGAGGAAATCATGTATCAGGAGATCATTTACCAGGTTACTCTTGTGTAGGGCAACAGACCATAGGTGAACCATGGATTAAATAAACCATTGGTTACTGTTTTGTGCAACCTGGTCAAAATGTGTTCACATTTCAGAAGAACTATTTCAAGTAAACTAATACAGTTGAATGCTTACCTGGCCCAAAGGTCTTTTTTCCCATTTTAGAGGAGTAAGGAAGTTTTATCCGTACTTGTAATGTAATGCTTGGTGTGGGTGCCTTACTCAAATCTTAATATACTCATCCGCTGAATATTGTAGTTTTTTACTCTGAAAAACTTAAGGCTGTGAGTCTGCAAAACAGTATCTTTGGCCATTGTTAATGTCATAACTGGGGCAATGATTTTTCCTATATAATTGCAATCAAGAAAACATTTATCATGTACTGAATGCATACTATTAATTATACATTGCTTGCAGTAGCACATACTTGAAATAAACTCTTATTGAAAATAAACTTGTAGCTGGAAAAACAGTAAGTGCAAAAAAAAAAAAAAACTGTTACTACCATAGTGACAAGATTTCTCAGTTTGTAGTTGTAATGGGATGTCCAAAATTTAGTTGTATGGTTAAAATGTTTTACAACAATAATCTCCTGTTTCTTATTACTAATTAAAACTTACTTGGTAACATGCCATCTTATTTGTATGACCTGTATGATTAAATTAGATGCTTAAAAACTGTTTATAAAAACCTAATTGCAAAATTTGTGTTCATCAGACTTGTTGGACAGTTTTTCACCTTTAGAGGAGCACTAGCTTAGGCGGGAAATGCAATACATCTGTTTTCTCACAACAATTCTGAAAACTATAGCTAGTCAAGGACAAAATACTGATAATTGCTTCCTTGGAAGGTTTATTTTTGGTTTCCATGCAGTAACTGAGGAATGGTAAACCAAGTTAATTACACAATTCTTTGGCTATCTCTAGATAGCTATGTTGTCTGAAAAGTTATTCAGACTACTGAAAGAGAAACTAAATGTTATTTTCTACAGTTTACTAAGTTTAATCACCCCTACAGAATGTCAAATACAAGTTTAATGTGCATTTGAGAATATTTTACAGATTTAAATTATTTGTGTGGTTATTCCTTTGTTTTCATAAACTCTCTTTTATCAACTCTGCCTTTGTATCATTTATATAGATACATAATAAACATTATTGCAGTTTCTCTTTATTAAAGTTTCTGAGTTAAAGCGTTTGGTATGATTTCAATGTAGTTTTTTGTTTGGGTCTTTTAGTTTTGGTAAGGTGTGTAAAGTTTTAAAATCCTGCCTCTTTTTTTGTTGTTTTTGTTTTTGTTGTTTTTTTGGATTGGGTGGCATTTTGTTTCCTACTGTGAACAGTAGGAAAGTTGCACTCATAGAGGGACACCTACAGTGGGTTAGAATAGTTCTGGCATAGTTAATTTATGGCATAGATGTGAGCTTCTAGTTATTTTTGTAACATGCAATCATTTTACCAGTTAGGGAATTTATTGTTAATTCCATGTACATTGTTCTTTGATTCTAGGTAAGACTGTGCCAGAATCCCAAACTTCAACTGAAAAACAGCCCACCTTATATACTTGACATTTTACCAGATACCTATCAACATTTACGACTAATATTGAGCAAGTATGATGACAACCAGAAACTTGTACAGCTCAGTGAAAATGAATATTTTAAAATATATATTGACAGTCTCATGAAGAAATCAAAGCGGGCTATAAGACTTTTTAAAGAGGGGAAAGAGAGGATGTATGAGGAGCAGTCACAAGACAGGTAAGAAAACGTTTAAATGGTCATTTAGATTGCTTGGCCATTCTGTTGGAGCAAGGCAGGGAAATCATATGTTGATGAATTACTCCTTTCATTCTGTGCAATTGGTCAGGCTGCCTGGGGCTGATGGGAATTGTTACAGCTTGTTTTGCATAGTTCAGCAATATTTGGACATACTAATTTGGAGGCATAGCATTTAGTGTCTGAAAACACTGACCTTGCAGGTCAGTTAGTAATTAGACTTTCTTCTTCTGTGTTACTCATCTGGCTTAAGTGAACTTCTGAAACAATTATTTTCTTCATAAAATATTTGTGTATAATAGTTTATATAAGATAGTGTTATGGCCTGTTATGGGACTGCAGGTGGCGCAGTGGTTTAAATCACTGTGCTGCTGGGCTGGTTGATCGAAAGGTCACCAGTTCGAATCTGCACAACGGGGTGAGTTCCCGTTGCTCTGTCCCAGCTCCTGCCAACCTTGCAGTTTGAAAGCATGCAAATGCAAGTATATAAAAAGGTACCACTTCAGTGGGCAGGTAACAGTGTTCCGTGCACTTTGGTGTTTAGTCATGCCAGCCACATGACCACGGAGATTGTCTGCGGACAAACGCTGGCTCCCTCGGCTAGGAAACGGAGATGAGCACCACCCCCTAGAGTCAGGTATGACTGGACTTAATGTCAAGGGGAAATCTTTACCTTTACTTTACCTTTATGACCTGTAAATACATCTGTTGGGAATGCTGTAGTTGGAGGCTTGCTTACATATCTTTGGCATATGCATGATGCATCTGATATAAAGAAATGTTTTCAGCCTAAGGAATGAACTCCATTTTGAAGATGCACATGTGGATATACTTCATTAGTAGATGGGGCTCAAAGCAAAGCATCAGGACCCAAACCACCAGCATACTTTGCCTTAAAAGTTTTTGCAGTCACTAACTAAGTCTTAGGAGAGGGTTTTCAGCCTTTTAGAATTGGGGAAACTTGCACAAAAGCTAAGAAACTACAAAGCAGTAGTTACGGGAAAAGGGGGAAGGTTGTGTGTTTTTTTTGGGAAATCATGGAGAGCCAGATGGGACCCCTGACAGGCCAAAGGTTCTGCATCCCTAATTCTAAATTTGGAAGTGTGGAAGTAGAACAGAGATGTTGCATGCATTTATGTAAAATAATAATTTGAGATTCTCTACATGAAAGCTTAGTGTTGGATTTGTGAGTGCTTCCAGGATATCTATTTGGCATTTGTGTTGCTGAAATAATTATAGCAAGATTTTCAAGCATAGTTAAGCACTCGAAAGAATGTTATTTCTTTGGTTTTATTTGTTCACCTTAGTTACATATAGTGCTCATGCTAAATTATATAATGGAATAAATTTTTATTTATGTGATGTTACTACACTTTAGAATTATAAAAATATGGTTGATAGTATCAACCATTTCATAGGATTGAGTCTTAGTGGCAGGAATGTAGGTGACATTTTATGGCTCCTATAGCTCAGAAGTATGTTTAAATGCAATCTATTCTAAGTATGAGCAGTTTCATTATTTAGAATGTTAGGTGCCAACACATTCACTGGATTTTTTTTTCCCTGATAATTAACACACATATATTTCACTAGTGTGCTAAAAGATAACGTACTCTGTACCTAGCTGGTTGGTATATTGATTGGATATGAAAAAATCTTTCTTAAACAGGCTAGAATTGCATATTTCAGTTAATTGCTAGAATAAAATAATTAACAACATTGCTTCACAGAGCAAACATTCACAAGAATGAGAACATTTTCTTTAGAGAAGGAAAATGGGTGGGAAGCTTGGGTGAGAAGATGCAAATGGAAATTAATGCCTCAGAGCTTTTTTACTAGGAAATGGATTGTCTTAATTTCTTTCTTCAAACAAATATGGCCTAATTTATCACTTGACAGGTATAAAAGGAATTTGCTTTTAAGTGTGTGATAAAACACAGAAAAAAAGGAAATGTTTATGCCTCAGAAATAGTTTTTTTCATAATTAAAAGGTGGTTCTGTTGACATTAGCTTCAGATAGTAGTCATGCTACTCTGCATTTGACATAGGCATAGAAGAGTTTGGGGGTTTCTTTGCTCAGCTTTTACAGTTGTTTAAGGTTTGTGACTACTTTGTTAGTGGCTGAAACATGACTTAGTAAATGGTACGGACATTAGGAAATCAGACTGAGCACCATGTGTTGCTGAATATGGATTTTACTGAGTAACATGGAAGCAAGGCAATTTAGGCTGCAATCCTGAATACACTTGGGAGTAAGTACCATTGAACCTAGTGGGATTTCTCAGTAAACTTGCATAGGATTACAAGTGCATGTAACTCCTAAATATATTCTAATTTTGAGTCTAACCTATTTTACAAATAAAGGAAAAAGCTACAAAAAACCTCTGCAATGTGTACTGTACAGAACAATTTTTTTCTAAAACAATTATACTGTTTACATGTTTTTGCAATGTAGGGCCAAGAAACCTTTATTGCCTAGTTCTTTAATATTATTGGGTTTACTAAAAGTGAACTTGGGTGCTGATTTCTGACAACTGTGTACTGCAAACAGGAAGGAGGTGATAGTATACTAAAGAGAACTTAACGGTTTGTAAAGTAAAAGCCAAGAAGAGCCCATAGCCCCCCAAACCCCAATGAGGGACTGAGCTTGTTTAGTAGCAGCACAATACTACATGACTTGGGAGTTAGGAACAAAATCAGTAGTAAGTGTGAATGGCAGAATAGCTGGCTGGCTTGAAAATTGAATAGGTATATGCCACAAAATATTATTGTTATTTGTTGTTATTGACTTGTTATTTTTCAATCCAGACAGGTATTCCCTCTGTCTTTTCCTCCTTTAAAGACTAGCTAAAGACTATAATGTGTTTGTTGTAGGATAGGCTAATAATAATATGAACTTGATGAATAGCAAAAGAGAGCTCAGCTTGATGCTTAGATACTGTTTTAATTAGAAATATGAAGGCATGGTGATTTTTATTTTAAGGAACAAAGAATGTTGTACAACAGTTACTTTGAAGTAGTACACTGTTGTCTGCTTTATAAAAATCACCACAGTCATGGGGATTGGAATAAAAACCTTAAGTCAAGACTTACTGAAGTGATGAAATTTGCCTGAGATGGCTTTATGTGAATGCAAGTATTAAAATGTACTTTTAAAGAACTGATGATCAAACCAGAATTAGAAGACATTAGAAAATGACTTTTATTGCATCAAGTATATGCTTTCTCCTTCTCCTTGCTGCTGCTGCTATTATTATTATAATTACTACTACACATATTTATAGGTTGCCTATAACTGCTGAGGCCTTCCTAGGTGGCTTCCATTAATAATAGAATGAGATGGAAAGGAACAGGGTTCATAATCCTTTGGGATGGAAATCATGGGCAATGCAATAGGAAAATCAGATGATTTGACAAATGTAACATTTCATCTTGTTGTTGTTAGTCGCAAAGTCGTGTCTGACCCATCGGGACCCCATGGACGACACTCCTCCAGGCCTTCCTGTCCTCCACCATCTCCCAGAGTCCACCTAAGCTCACATCAACTGCCTCAGTGACTCCATCTAGCCACCTCATCCTCTGCCGTCCCCTTCTTCTTTTGCCATCTATTGTTCCCAGCATTAGACTCTTCTCCAGGGAGTCCTTCCTTCTCATTAGGTGGCCAAAGTATTTGAGTTTCATCTTCAGTATCTGGCCTTCTAAAGAGCAGTCAGAGTTGATCTCTTCTAGGACTGACCGATTTGATAGCCTTGCGGTCCAAGGGACTGGCAGGAGTCTCCTCCAGCACCACAATTCAAAGGCCTCAATCCTTTTGCTCTCAGCCTTCCTTATGGTCCTTTCACTGCCATACATTGCCCCTGGGAAAACCATAGCCTTGACTGTACGCACTTTTGTTGTCAGGGTGATGTCTCTGCTTTTTAGTATGCTGTCTAGATTTGCCATAGCTTTCCTCCCCAGGAGCAAGCGTCTTTTAATTTCTTGGCTGCAGTCCCCATCTGCGGTGATCTTGGAGCCCAGGAAAATAAAATCTGTCACTTCCTCCATTTCTTCCCCATCTATTGGCCAGGAAGTGAGAGGACCGGATGCCATGATCTTAGTTTTCTTAATGTTGAGTTTCAAGCCAACTTTTCCACTCTCCTCCTTCATCCTCTTCAAGAGGCTATTTAGTTCCTCTTCACTTTCTGCCATTAGAGTGGTATCATCTGCATATCTGAGGTTGTTGATATTTCTCCTGGCAATCTTAATTCCAACTTGTGATTCATCTAGCTCCGCCTTTCTCATGATGTGCTCTGCATATAAGTTAAATAGACAGGGTGACAGTATACAGCCTTGCCAAACTCCTTTCTCAATTTTGAACCAATCAGTGGTTCCATGTCCAGTTCTCACTGTTGCTTCTTGACCCGCATATAGGTTTCTCAAGAGACAAATAAGATGGTCAGGTACTCCCATCTCTTTAAGAACTTGCCACAATTTATTGTGATCCACACAATCAAAGGCTTTAGCATAGTCAATGAAGCAGAAGTAGATGTTTTTCTGGAACTCCCTAGCTTTCTCCATGATCCAGCATATGTTGGCAATTTGATCTCTAGTTCCTCTCCCTCTTCAAAATCCTGCCTGTACTTCTGCTAGTTCTTGGTCCACATTCTGCTGAAGCCTAGCTTGTAGGATTTTGAGCATAACTTTGCTAGCACGTGAAATGAGTGCAATGGTGCAGTAGTTTGAACATTCTTTGGCATTGCCCTTCTTTGGGATGAGAATGTAAACTGACCTTTCCAATCCTGTGGCCACTGTTGAGTTTTCCAAATTTGCTGGCATATTGAGTATAGTACTTTTACTGCATCATCTTTTAGGATTTTGAATAGCTCAGCTGGAATACTGTCGCCTCCACTAGCTTTGTTGTTGCTCAGATTTCCTAAGGCCCATTTGACTTCACATTCCAGGATGTCTGGCTAAACGTCAGTGACCACCCCATCATGGTTATC